CAATAAAAATGATTAATAAACCTCTCATAATTACAAAAAAATGAACAAAATGAAAAATTATGATTGGTTGAATGCGGTTTGCACGGTTTGTACAAATTAAGTGGTTTACATTTGATCGCTCCCCTATATATATATATATATATATATATATATATCATATTAAAAGGATGATATGATGTATACAAAGTTTGAGTCTCTAAAATAAAAATTGGACTTTTTCCGGTTTGATTCTAAACCGAAATCAAACCCATACGTTGTATTCTCGAAACCTTTTTAAGAGATAAAAGGAAAGGAAACAGAAGAAAAACAGAGACGGGAGGAAATAAATGAAAAGTGGTTAACGAAATTAGAAAACAAAGAATGAAATGATGCATAAGTTACCAGGAAGAACAGGGCGTAGATTCACAAAAACGAATATAAGATCGGTGGTGTAGAACACGTCCTCCACATCGATTTTATGAGGTCCAAAACTATAATACATCTGCAAACAGTTTCAAATTAACATCAAAATCATAAATTAAATTCAAGATTGAAATTCACAATATTTACTTGCGTCTTTTGAATACGATGTATGTTCTTCGCTGGAGAACTGCTGTAACAAGATGATGATGCTTCCTTTACCTTATTATGCCCACAGTTCCGATCCTCCATATTATATATATATATATATATATATATATATATATATATACTTGGTTTCTTTTAATATCATTTTTTAGGCATAGTGGCAGTTTAATAATAGATTAAACAACATATTATTGGTCTACAAGAGTCGTTAGGAGATTTTTGTCCATATTCGTTTATTATATTCGCGGTTGTTGTGTTTTGCAATATTTTTTAGAACTTAGGGGCCGTTTATCAAAAGCTTATTTGGGTAAGCGTTTACTAACTTACATTATCTTATCGGATGAACATGGAAAGGACCATGAATCTTACCCGGTAAGAGCGAGACAAGACTTAGGGGCTGTTTACCAAATTTTCTATTAAGTTCTGTATGGATAAATTTGTCTGTCTGGATAAATTTGTCTGTCTGGATAAATTTATGTTGTTGTTTACTTTTCTATCTGAATCAACAGTCTGAATAACAGAAATGACCAATTTACCCCTGATGATGAACTATGCACTGTTTAATAATTCTTGAATAAACCCATAAAACAACAACAAAATCAACAGACTCCTTCTGTTTCTTCTTCAACTCGTCATTCAACTTCAGATTTTCCAAAAACAAACAATCTTTCTCCTTCTCGAGTGATTCAGCCTAATTTTTCAACTCGCGTTGCTTCTCCTTCGCATGCTGCTGGTTTAACCCTCTGGTTTAAGCATCAAACAAAAAAATCGAGACCGAATACAAAAAAGTCGAGCAGCAAAACCTCGAACAGCAAAAACTCGAACAGCAAAAATCGAGCAGCAAAAATCGAGCAGCAAAAACTCGAACCTAAGACCGAATAGAACCTAAGAATCGAGCAGCAAAAACTCGTCATACAAAATCGAATCGAGCAGCAAAATCGGAAGCAAACAGAGGATACAAACCGAATCGAGCAGCAAAATCGGAAGCATCAAAATCGAGCGAAGATTGGAGATTAGGGTTTTGGAGGAGGAAGCAGCAAAATCGGAAGCATCAATATCGAGCGAAGATTGGAGATTAGGGTTTTGGAGGAGGAAGCAGCAAAATCGGAAGCATCAAAATCGAGCGAAGATTGGAGATTAGGGTTTTGGAGGAGGAAGCAGCAAAATCGGAAGCATCAAAATCGAGCGAAGATTGGAGATTAGGGTTTTGGAGGAGGAAGCATCAAAATCGGAAGCAAACAGAGAATACAGGACCAAAATCATCGATTAGGGTTTTGGAGGAGGAAGAAACCTGTCGAGGACCAAAATCGCCCAGACCGTGAGTTTTACAAGGGTAGGTATGTCTTTTTTGTTGGCTTAATGTGGACAAGTGCCTAAAATGATCTGTGCGAATAAGCCCCTATCTGGGCGAATAAGCTCGAAGTAAACAGCCTAAAATGACTGTGCGAATAAGCCTGTTTATCCGGTAAGCTTATTAAGTCACAAGTAAACAGGCCCTTAGAGTCTTATCCGGTAAGTGAGAGCAATGACTCTTACCACGGTAAGCACTTACCCGGGTAAATTATTCCATACGATGTCGTTTTGGTAGACCAAAATCTTATCCGATAAGTAAATAATAATGTTAAATTTTACTGGTAAACACTTGCTTGATAAGTATTTAATAAATGACTCTTGTTTCTCTTATCAAAATTTTCATTTAAATATTTCTGACATGATGTGAAGGTGTTTTAATCATGAAAAACTTTTTGTTTAGACGTACAAGATTAATTTTACTTCATTTTTATATTTTCAACTAATATTTGGATAAAAAAATCTTTTCTTTGTTTATATTTTTTTAACAGACTTTTGGGTCACAACTTTTATTTTGTGATCTTTTATTACATCTAGTGCTATTCAAGACATAATTCATTGAGATTTCTTAATTTTCACAAATTTCAAGTAATTAAACTTATTGTGAAGTTAAATCTATCCGATGCAAGTTTTTTATCCTCATTTGGACCATCTTGTTTTTTTGGGTGAGTTTCTTGTGCAAAGATTTGTATCAGTCGATGGGGTTACCACACTTCATACATGGTTAGAGACTCATGTCTTGTCTTAGGTTGTAACATCGTTTTCTATATGGGAGCATCGACGTATGATTTAGTAACCATTGTTAGATCATAGAGCATGTTTGGTACTTTGGTGGCTAAACATGCAAATGAATTACGTTTTGAACTTCTAGTTTACTTTGTTTCTATGAAGATCAAAGATGAATAATATTGGGAATACTGATTTATCAAAATGACCAAGAGAAAATCGAGTCGTAAATAAAATATCTTGTTGATGACTCAAGGTATTTTAGTTAAGGACCCACCCGATTACTTTGTGGTGGAACACTTGAAACATATCCAAAAATTCTACGAGTACGTTGCGAGGGAGATTATTTTATTTTAATAATCCATCCTTAGCATGTAATAGCAATTTTTCAATCAGTTAAATGTTTTATAGGCCCTACAAATAGGTGCCCAATGGGCTTTTCACGTCGTTGAAACTTTTTTGTGATAACCTTTACGTTCGTGAATATAAATCCCATTGTAAATTTACTAGGGTGTGATTAATAGAAGCATTACTATTCTCTCAAGTGCATGCAAACATGTAAATTTGGCATCTCAAGACACTATGACAGATTCGGTTTTATAGCATCACAAACATGTCTAAATATCTTAAATAGACTGTTTTGTAGGACATCTGTTTATAAGATCAATCAACTGTTCGTCATATATAAAAATGTTACAATAAGTTGATATGACATTTTTGGACATAACCTATACTATGAGTGTGAATTAATGCTCGAGCTTATATGGGCCTATACGAGCTCATAGGCCGAACCAAGGCCCACCCTTCTACTTTTATTGAACAATATATACATCGGAACAACACACCCACTTTTGAGTGAGATATACAGGGGTCGTTTAAAAGTTTTTACAAGGGATACAAACATTAGCAGTCAGTGTTTATTTTCTTTTCTCTCCTGCGGACGAAAAGTGGCCTTGACTTGCATGGACAAACAAGTAGTGAAAAGAAGTGTTCTTAAAATAAATTGCCATACCATACCATACCATACAATTTTAGTTAGTTGGTGCTGAATACATAAGAGGCTTGAATCTAAATACAAAAGAAATTTGGATAGCCAAATGGCATTTGAGTTCCTAAAGAATAACAGATGGTAAAAAACCAAACCAGTTGATGATAATTAATTGTTGCTTTTGAATCTCAGTGCTGCTTAGTGTTCTTGAAAAAAGGCAGCGGAAGTTTTTGGAGAACCCCCATGATTTCATTGCCTGCCTTTTCACCATAAGCATCCACCAGATCTTCATTCCTCTCATACAACAATGGTGCCGTCAGCAGCAGCACAAATACTGATCCAACACCAATACCACTTATATATGAGCAACACAGATCAATAATCACACACACACACATGTGGGAAGGGCGGTGGGTTCCAACATATATAGAGGTGAAATGGTCCAAGTCTGGCCAAATCACGCACCTTCCAATGGAGGTTAAACGGACACCGATTGTCCCAAAGTGTTGGGAGGGGGCTAGATGAGTACAGATAGCCTAGAGTGTTGAGTGACCTTGATTCTTGATACCAAGTGACAATATGTGGAACCCCGTTAGAGATTACTCTCCAAAAGAGCCATTGAGGAGAGCAAAGGGGGGAGGATTTCTGATATATAGAGGTAAAATGGTCCAAATTTGACTAATGTGGGACTCTTAACACCAACTACTTTAGGATGTGAAATGAATTAACTCACAGATATACAGAAGGGTCAACAACTCAAACCAGCCACCGATAACTGAGACCACCCACAGGGTGAAAATCACCTGCATGCCCACAAGTTGATTTTGCAGTTACAAGTAGTATAAAAGTCATGTATGCTGCTAAATCCAGATAAGGAAACTCCAGTCAGAAGATACATACACTCATAAATCTCTTTAGATCCTTTCCTGAAGTCATTTCCCTCAAGAATAGGCAGGCCTGATTGATTTGATCTTTCAGAATGAGAGCAATACTATCACACAGTTCTTGGGACAATCTAATGTCAGGGAAGTTTGGAGGAGACCTATCAAGAGAAAAGAAGCATTTGTTCATTTTACAAGATCATCATGCAAGACTGTTAGTCCCATAAGTTATTGTTCTTTTTCTTGTTTACGTAGTTTTGCATTTGGTGATGCTTTTGATCTTCTATAAGAAAAGAAATTCTGCACTCCATTAAATTTGAATTGAGAATATCCCACCATTTCTTAGCTATAACTACTGTAATTTCCATCTCAAATTTGTATTTGCAACTTCAAAAGATGAGAACTGGGGTACTAGTTGCTTGTATTTTAGCTCATTTTGGTGGACATTAAAATGACCAAGTTGGAACAATTGTCAAAATGGTAGCTTATTTCGACATCATATAACAGCATTCCATATTGTAACCGGAGTGTTTACTCTTCCTGCCCAACAAAATGTGAGTAAGCATCTTCTATATTAAGATGGATAACAGGGCCCGAAAGAACATAATCTTGTTTACTAAGAAGGAAACCTTCTTTTAATGGAATCCATTAAAATCCCAATGACATACATCCACAAGAGCATTCACAGAGAGGAAAACCAAGATTATGGGGTAATTCACACGGTAATAAAGATAGCTGAATTAGGAAACATAGAAAGTAAAGGTAAGGAACTCACTTGTTAACAAAGGAAGACAGATTGGACCACAGGAACAATATCGCCAAAGTAAGTATTAAAAAGTGACATAAAAATGGAAGAAGATGGTAGCCTATCCACTCAAAGAGAAGCCATATTACAGTTGCAGAAACAAGAATGGCCCCTGACATCTGCTTGTGCCGCCAAAGTAATATATCAGCAGCTGGAAATAGGCATTTAACCAGATTAGGATATCTTAATCCATCAAACAACATTATCAGCATCTAGTAACAAAATTGGTCTGCCCAATACTCCCTTCAAAATAAAGTAAGTTTATGGTTTCTATTTGTTTATACCATTTGGGGTGGGACGACTTTGTCCTAGTTTGATCCCAGCCCCTGCTAGCCTCAACTATTGAGTGAGCCAAAAAATGTCTGCTCACATTGGTGTCCTTGGAGGCAGGTTCTGTTTGATGTTGGTTGGGGTTGGGGTTGCGGTAATCAACCTTTTGCCCAAATTTGGTTTATTATTTATTATGTCGTTCCATCTTTATTTAAGCTAGCATCAACTAAATGAGATGCGGCTTCTGCCACCTTGTAAATGGGACTTGTTTTTTGTTCATTTTCATCATTTTTTTTTTGTGGGATTCATTTATTCGGTGTATATGGATATAAACATGTGATTGTCAGCCAAATTATGTTAACATGCATAGATATAAAGATATGACTCACAAAATGGAGAATTGAGGTAAATCATATTAACAAATTCAATACTTTCCTTTGAGAGCTTTATTTATATGGTGCGAGGTTACAGAGATGCAACCGTGTCTTTTTCTTTTCTCCAATTATGTAAGGTGAATGGAACTAAGGAAGATAATATCTCAAAATGCAAATACGATAATGAGATTAAAACAGTATAATCTTATGAAACCTTGATTGCTATTTCAAGAACTTGTAGGAAATTTGTATATGCATATAGCAAAAGCATCCTTTGAAACTTGAAAAATATGATGTATGGAGAATCATAATTCATTTCAATATTTCATCTCAGTTTCTTTTCTTTTTCAAATTTCCTTTGAATCGAAATGCTACAAAATCACACATGCTCCACCTGGTTAAATGACCAACAAGTATACATATAAAACATATACGAGAATCGAGAACAACATATCAGCCATAACAGAAATATTTTGTTATCGAGAACAAATTTATCTTACTAGCATGCAACAAGATCAGATCATATCAGCTATTAACAGTTACGATTTCAATCTTTCATCAGATACGAAACACAGAATGAAGAGATTTACTTTTGCCAGAACCGAGAGCAGCGTGAAGAGGTTTCTGACGACCAAAGAGATGGCGCCTTCTGGAAACAGAATGTTTCTCCTCATTCTCCTCCATAAACGATCCCTTAGTGTGGTGCGTTGATCTTTCAATCTTCTTCTCCGTCGCCGCCACTATTAAATCTTCGACGGCCGGATCTGACATATTTCCCTATATTAAAAACAAATCATGATCATCGTCACGTACGCATTCGTAAATATTGCAATTTCATGAATTATAAAAGATGATTTTTCACAAATTGTTCTTACTGTATCTTCAATTCAGAATGTGTTTAGGATGTTCCGATGATTGTTCGTTTGCTCCGGCGAACGGAAAATTTCTAAATGGAGGAATTGAACAGAGAGCAAAATGGGGAAATTAACCCCATAATAATCCGACGCATGTAGGCTATAAATGCAACCAACTAATTCGGAGCAAAATTAAGGTAGCTGTACATTTAGCCCCTTCATCTTTTGATTTCTGCTCCTAGGAGTCCCTCAACTTTGTTTTGAGACTTCATAGGCCAAATTCGGAGCAAAATTAAGGTAGCCGTACATTGTGGAGTTACTCGTATCAAATTGAACATTAAGTTTGGTTAGACATTAATTAATGTCATTTGTTATGTATTCATAATTACTAGTTGTGTACCTCGTAATGCGGTGGGAGCCGTGAATCTTAACGATTTTGAAGTTTCATTGGTTTTATTAGAGAAGATTTAACGATGATATAAGTTACACTTGGTTTTTGCATATTAATATAATTTGAATAAATAAGAATTATGGTTTCACATACAGTCTATCGATGAAAAAAATTTGTATGACAGTTTAAAATCCAATATATTTAAAATCCAACATATTTAAACGACTCCATAAATGTGCTTGATTTACATCAAGAGCAAATAATCAAGAGATCGAGAACGAGACCGAGAATTCTAAAACAATTGAATGAAAGATGAATGAATGAATGAACTTTTAATAACTCATGGTGAATATGAGTTTGAATCTAACCTTGGAGGATGGGGAGAAGACATAGATATATGAGAGGGTGGAGACATGAGTGAAGGGTATCAAAAGTATCTAGGGAACATTAAAAGAAAATGTAAATAATGTGCATTGATAACTTGTACTATATGTTATTTTAATTGTAAATTAGGAGATTTTAAAACTGAATGCATAAAGTAGTAGTACTTAATGCATTATGAGTTGTTCATAAGACTTTGTGCATAAACGTATAATATTTTGTACATTAAAAATTGTTTTTAAGACCTTTGATAAATCTGGTTTATAAAGTAGTATAGATTAAATTAAGTTTCCACTATCAATTTTATTCCTCTGGATATGTGATTTTAAGGATTCATGACTTTTTTGTTTATTTAATGTTACAAGTTTCATTCAATTCTGATTATCCAATGTACAGTTTTCATCCAATTTTAATTAAATTATCCAACCTAAAATGTTTACAAGAGTTAAACTAAGGAGTAAATTAAATTTTTCGTCCCTGTGGTTTGGTGAAAGTTTGGATTGGGTCCCTTAAGTGAAATAATTGCAGGGATGGTCATTGTGGTTTCATTTTTGTTATGGATCAAGTCTCTCACGTTAACATCCATTTCAAATCTAAGTTAACTTAGAAGTATTTTTATGTTTTCGTTGTATCATGAAATTTGTAGTTGTTTCAAGGACTGATTTTGCCAATTTCTAAAACTCAATTATGATAGTAATAAAAAGAAAAACCGAAAACAAATAAGAGCATCTCCGAAAGATTATCTAAAATGGAGAAAATGGGTAAAATGAAGATTTTGAACTAAAATTAAGCTCTAAAAGATTCCCCAATAGTATCTCCAAAAAGGAGAAAGTAAGAAAGATAAGGCTTTTTTCTCCAAACATGAAGATTACCTCAAAAATGATTATCATGTGTGAGAAATATTTTTTAATATATTTCTACTAATGGAAAACTTTGAAAATTTTTATTTAGAGAAAGAAATAATATTTTAATAGATGAATTACATATTTTAATATTATAATCAATGTTGGATCCTCCAATCAAAACTTGAAATCTAAATAAAAAATTATTTAGAGAGAGAAACAAATAAGAGCATATTTTAATATTATAATCAATGTTGGATTATTCAAAATGAAGAATCTGTTGGAGATGAATGCAATTTTGTAGAGATTTCAACTTTTGGTTCTCCATTTTGAAGAAATTTTGGGAATCCGTTGGAGATACTCTAACACCCCCCCAGTATATGGCTCCTCCTCGTCAGCGACCCCTACCGAGTCCTAAAACTCCAACCCAACCATCTTCTCACTCTCCCTTCTCCAATCTGGTGAAGAAATCAACCTAGATCCAGTGAAGAAATCGGACTTACCATTTCTTCAAGTGGATCCTTGGTTGAAGAAATTGAAGGAAGCATTCGAAAATCAACAAAAATTCGAGGTTCTGCATATGGCCATCTTCTCTTTGCGATTTTTGTTTTTTGATTAGGGTTTTGGCAATGGTTTTTTTTTTATAAGGTATGCATTTTAGGGTTTTGATTTAGATTTAAAATTCTTGATATTTTTTGTGTTCTTAAAAAAATAGATTTAGTTAAAATTTTCATATTTTTTGTTGTTCTTGACAAATTTGATGAGTTCTTTCATATTTGATATATGTTGATGAATTTCTTATTTTTGATGTTCTTGATTAAGTCGAGATTTTCTCTTTGGATTGATGAACATGGAAAACCAGTGATATCATATCCAAATCTATACAAATGATTCTAAAAATAGGTTTTGTTGTTGATTTGTTCTTAAAAAATATTATTTTTTATTTTGTTAAAAAATGGTTTGTGTTGTTGATTTTATTCTTCGAAAAGATGTTCGTATTTGTCGTGGGACAAGTCGCCCTCATCCCCAAAACTATTTTGCTGAAATAGAGAGTTGCACAACTTAAATGTTCTTCATGGGCGACAATGATTTTCATGAAAAAAATGTGGTATTATAATGAAGATTTATGCATCAAAAATACACGTAAAACACATATTCAACATAGAGAACAAATATATAATTATAAAGTTTAACATGCAATCGAACTACAATCATCTAACATAGTTAAAGAAATGAGTTTAAGTTTACATGGATAAGGAAAAACAATTTGGTCGGCCATGAGTGGATACTTGCGGAGTTAGTGACATGAAAGATCAACTTGCAGACAGAATACCACTTGCAGAGAGAAATTTTTTTGCAGATAGAAATGTTATGTGCACCTGCCTAGGGCCCAAAATTCTTTTTTAGTTTATATTATTAGTTTTTGGAAAAAAAAAACTTAATTATGATAAAGAATTAAGGGCCCAAATTTAACAAAAGAAAAAGGAAGCCCAACTCAAAACACATAGGGAATTTCATCTCTAATCTAAATCGGCGCCTAAACAGAAGCTACATACGATTTCACATCCGACTTAAGTACTTGACGACTTCGATTCCAATTTCCGTAGACGGACAAGGTTCCCATTTTCTAAACTGGCAAGCAACGATTCATTCCTCAAGACCTTAGACCTCAACGACTCAACGGTAAATCAATAATTTTAAGATGAAGAATCCGATGCTTCGAATTCGTAAGAAAATTTTCAAAATTCAAAGTTCCCGTTCAAGTAAAATTCAAGCTTTCAGCTCATGTTTCTCAAATATAGCTAATGTGTGTTATGATTTTGGGTTCTAACTTTATCTTGTCACCAACACACGCATTGTTTCTTAGTTCTGTTTTGATTTCGAGGTCAAGATTCAAGAATCATTTCAATTGTTTGTCACCATTCACTCAGTGAGTTTAGGGCAGCATAAAAAAAGGTATCAATTTATTTGATTATTTCCTAAATTGTAATTGCTAATGCATTATGCATAATAACATAATACATGATTGGCTTATTTGCTTACTAATTATGCTTCATTTTTTTTAAATGACAAACTACAATTTATTGAAAAAAGGAGTTGACTTCTTCATTTTTCGGTATTCCATAATCCAAACTCAGATTCAACCACTCAGGTGCCTTTGCTCATCTTTACATTGAATTTGTTGAATTGTTGTGATTGTTAAATATTGATCATGTTGCTTAAAAAGTATAAGTACTTGTTTGGAAGTGAGAAAAGGAAAAAAAGAAAGTTAGTTGAACAATTGAAACAATCACAAAAAGGATCCATAGATAAGTTTGTTAAGACCGTAGGTTCTTCTAATCAAGAGTTAAATGAGTTAGATGAACAAGATGTTGAACATCCAAATATGAGCGAAGATAATGAAAAGATTGATGGTGTGAGTGAACATGAGGTCCCCAATAATATTGAAAACTTATCCATTGATGACAATCAATTCCGTTTTTTGATATTTGTGATCCTAGAATAGGATAATCTTGATACTAAATCAAGAGACATCCTAGTTGAAAAATGACCTATTAGAGAATTGGGTATCATGTTTCCTTTAGATAACATGTCTAGACATTTTTCATATGCTTATTATAATATAAAGTTTTAGTAATGGTGAAACTAGTGATCAAAAATGGCTATTTTATTCAAAATATGAGGATAAAGTGTATTATTTTTGTTGTAAGTTGTTCAGGTCTAAGAATTATAGAAATGCAAACGAAGGATTTAGAGATTGGAAGCATCTTAGTGAGAGACTTAAAGAACATGAAAATAGTATTGAACATATGAATAACATGTTAACTTGGAATGAACTAAGAGTAAGATTGAACACAAACCAAACAATTGATAAAGACTTACAACAAGAGATTTTAAAAGAGAAACATCGTTGGAGGCAAGTTTTAGTAAGAATAATTACCGTTGTGAAGTGTCTTGCTAAGTATTCTTTGCCTTTTAGAGGATCAAATGAGAAGTTGTACCAACATAACAATGGTAATTTTTAGGGTTAATTGAAATGATTGGAGAATTTGATGTGATAATTTAAGATCATATTAGACGCATTCAAAATCATGAAATTCATTATCATTATCTTGGACCTAGAATTCAAAATGAGTTAATTTATTTTTTGGCTCATAATATTAAAAGTTCTATCATGAAAATTATTAGAGATGCTAAATATTTTTAGGTAATTCTTGACTGTACACCATATGTGAGCCATCAAGTGCAAATGAGTTTAATCATACGATGTGTAAATATGTCCGATGATAAAATAAAAATAGAAGAGTATTTTATAGAGTTTTTAAAGGTTGATGATACATCTGCTTTAGGGTTGTTCAATGAATTATTAGATGTACTTAAATATCTCGATCTTAGTGTTTATGATGCGAGGGGTCAAGGTTATGATAATGGTTCTAACATGAAGGGAAAACACCAAGGGGTACAAAAT